TAGGGTTTAGGGTTTCAGATGTAGGGCTTCGGAGTTTAGGGTTCAGGGGTTCAGATGTAGGGTTTAGGGTTTAGGGTTTCAGATGTAGGGCTTCGGAGTTTAGGGTTCAGGGTTTAGAGTTTGGGGTGCCTCGGGATAAAGGTTTAGGGTTTCGGGTTTCGGATTATTTTAGAGTCTAAGGTTTAGGGGTTCGGGTTTTGCTGCAACCTAGCAGCCCTTATATATTCGGTAAGCTGTGAACTAAGGTCAGACTGAGGACGGATCCCGTTTGCAAACGTCCTCTGCCTGCAGGCTCCGTGTTTTCATTAGGTTTGAAGCTTTGCAGCTACAACCTGGCAGCCTTTCGAAGTTCAAGCTTGGGCTTCCAATCCAGCCCACAAATCCTACCTCCACCCCAAAGTTATCCACTCATGTGTGGACTCAGGAAAAGAGACAGGAAGGTTTTGCAACGTTGAGATAAACCCGCAGGCTCCAAACCCAAAGACATGAAGCATGTCTGTCAAACAGCTGTCTTCTTTTGTTAAGTTCTAGATCCTTCGACTTAATTCCCGCTTCACAAGCTTGAGGGCTAAAACCCGTACAGCGAAGCCAAAACGCTGAAACATGGATCTGCTGGCTGTTGTTCTGTGCTAGGTCTGGGGTTGAGGGACACTGGTGCTCCAAGTTTTGGCTTCTGCGGCACTTGGGGGGATCATGGGACTTAGAAGTAGGGTTATAAGTTATAAGTACCCCAAATAAGGTTATAAGTAGATATATCAGTAGTTACTTTGCTAACAACTCTACATACTAAATTAAGTCCCCTGATCCTTTCCGTACTTTTAAGTACCCCTAAAGGATCCTAAAGCCCGAAGAAAAGGACAAATGTGTAGTCTGAGCTGCATTGTCTTGGAGCATCCCGGCGGGCCGTAAAGCAGCACGCCTTTCGGGGCCTTCACAGGTCTCAAAGTCTCAACCCAGACCCCCAAAAGGATCTAAAAAATAGATCCCCTAAGGGGGACCCTTTAGTAGTTAGGGTCCCTAATTAGGGGATCTATTTTTTAGATCCTTTTGGGGTCTGGGAAAGCTCTACCCATAGGCCCCATAGTAGTTCCTTTTTGGGATTACCTAACAGGATCCTAAATCTAAGCCACAAAAAGGAACTACTATGGGGCCTATGGATAGTTGTGCAAAAGAATATGCTCTGATTTGGGCCGTTTAGGCCGAGGTCTTCATACCTTTAGGGGTTTGGGGCTTTAGTGCCGAAATTGGAGGAAAGAGTCCGACACTCTCTGCCGAACCCATGTGGTGCATGCCGACACATCTGGCCGTTTTGAGAACAGAGGCGCCTGGCTGCAGGCTGACGCAGGGAGTAGTCCCACTCACGTCGGCTTGAAAATCATCTGCGAAGCTGCCCCAAATCCCAAACCTTTAGAACTGTAGACTTTGGATGTTCAGTGCCAGACTGGGTAAGCTCTACAGCGTTCGACCGATGGTCGTTCCGTCAATACAGCAGAAGGAACACCAGACCTTGTTTTCCAACCAACCTCCCACTCCCCTCCGCGCAAAACTAAAGACTTTTGGGAACTTCATGCCCCAAAGCTTTGACCCTCCCGGAACCTGCAACAACAGGGCCCCGGATCCACAGTTCAATTGAGCAGGATCTAAATACCCGAAATAAATCCTAAACCCTGAACTCCCTACCTCTTTGTAGGAACCCCCAAAGAAGACGGTCTTCTGAAAAGGACCCTTGAAGGAGACCCTACTTCAGAGAACTACCCACTTATCTGAACCCACATGTCGCCCTAAGCCCAAGGTTTCATATGGGGGCCTTAATAATTAGAATAGGGTTGGGGGCTATATTATACCATGATTACAAGAAGGAGCCCCCTCAAAACCCTAATTCTAATTATTAAGGCCCCTACATTAGGAGCCGAAGCCCGATTCCCCTAAAACAAAGATCCTTCTTTCTTCGTGCTCCTTTGGGGCCTGTGTATGAAGGACGGGACCTGGCCTCCATGCGCATGGCCTCAAAAGCCCAGGCGTATCGCCTGAGTCACCCAAGCTGCATTCCATACTCGTCCGTTTCGGGTTTGGGGCTCAGATTGATCCGGTTTAGGGTTTAGGGGGTTGAGGGTTTAGGTTTTACAGGGTTTCGGGTTTACGGGGTTGAGGGTTTAGGGCTTATAGGGTTGAGGGTTTAGTGTCTTCAACTGGCATTACACTTATGACTTAGGCCCCAACGGTGCCCAAACAAGGACAAGCCCCAAACTAGAAACCACCTATCCCAACTTTTTTATGCAACCAGGCAAGATCCACGTTTGTCGGGTATCCAAGAAAGTAACCCCTAAAAAGGAAGCCTGGATGGAACTCCTTAAAGGAATCCTGAAACGGCCCGGGTTGGTCTTGGCAAAGGTGCCTGCAACTGAAGGACCGGGAAAACCCAGAGCCCTAAACCCTTAAGGCCCTTAAGACCCTTGCAGCTGTCGAGGCACATGGGCCACTCCACGGCCTCTTTGAGCGCTTCTTTGGTGGAGTGGTAGCCCCCGATGTCCTGGTTTGGGGTTCTGGGGTTTAGAGTTTAGGGTTTTAGGGCTTCAGGGTTTAGGGCTTGGGGTTTTAGGGCTTCAGGGTTTTAGATTTTAGGGTTTAGGGACCCGCTCAGGCTCAGAAGTTCAAGCGTACATGCTAGTAAGGCTACCCTCGAGCGAAACCTAACTCCTCGCGAGAACTACGCCGCAAACGCCCGAAGGCCATAAACCCAGGCCAGGAAATCTCACCCCCAGCTCTGAAACAGCGAGTCGAATACGGCTAATCGTGGCCTTGCACGTCCTTTTCCTCCCGGCCCTGTTATTCTTACCATCAGAAACAGATCGAACTACAAAACCAGTACCTGTTGCCCAAAACCTTATCTTTCCCAGCCAACAGCCATGCAAGGAAATGAAACAAGAAACCACAACCAAACTACTGGTAGTTCTTGTGCTACAGGTGAATCCTAAGCCCAAACCCAAACACTTGAATCACAAACCTTGAAAAAGACGAGGCTCCTCCCATCGCACGTGCGGGACTTCGACCAGGAGTTCCTGTGGCTTAAGGGCTACTAAGCTTTTCCTGGCGGTCTCTGCGTCCTATCTTGGACTTCGCCCTGAACCCAAAACCCTCAAACCCTTAAACCCTTTAACCCCTTAAACCCTAAACCCTTAAGGTTAGTGTTTAGGGCCGTGGGCCTTTGGGCAAATACTTCAGATATAACAGCAGGATGATGATATATAAATCCCGCATTACGTTACGGACCTTGAACTATGGTTATGTAGTATACCTGTAGTCTCCATTGTAGTTCTTTGGGGATACCTTATAAAATCCTTAATATATAATTGGTTAAACCATAAAAAGGAACTACAATGGAGACCATAGGTATCACCTACCCCCCCAAACCACCCTAAACCCTAAACCCTAAACCCCAAACCCTAAACCCTGCACCTACCCCTCCAAACCCTAGTCCAAGTATGGTTGGGTAATGCAGGATTTCTATCATCAGCCGTAGGTTTGGGGTTTGGGAGGCCTCGGAGTTGAAGGCTCGTTTGCCTAAGCCCCCAAATCCTGGGCTTGGGCTTAGGGTTTAGGAGTTAGGGTTTAGGGTTTATGGGTTAGGGTTTAGGGTTTAGGGCTTAGGGTTCAGGGTTTAGGGTCTAAGGCTTAGGGTTTAGGGCTTAGGGTTTAGGGTTGGGGCCTTCATGATTAAAATAGGTTTTTGGGGCATACTGTACTATAACTATCATAAGGAACCTCCAAATTAGGATGGGTAATTATTGAATTATTAAGGCCCCTATAGTCGACCTTTTGTCTTCAGGGCTGTAGGGCTTTGCGGTTTTGGGCTTCAGACTCGAACGTTTAGTCTTTGAGCTGGGGGGTGTAGTGCATGGTTTGTTGGACTCAGGGAGATCGCTACTGGGTCTGGAGCAGCGGCTCTGTGCTCTCATTCTGAGATAGACGGCCTGAGGTGTCCCAGCGTCGCTACATGGCTTGGTACGGGAGCATCATACGTAGTGACTGGTGGCCTAGTAACCCTAGAAGGGACCCCTCATCCTAATACCCTATATAACCCTGATATACCCTTTATATCTTCTCATAAAGCCCCTTTATAACCCCAAGGGTCTTTAAAGGTCGCTCATTTAGCCCCTTGACAGAAGGCGTTGGGTTTGCAGGCTATCTTCATGCAGCTCGGTCGTCTGAATCCACGAGAAGGTTTGAGGTTTCAGCGAATGTGCTTTTCGCATGGAGCTGAGTTTCATATTATGGAAGCATTCTTAATTTGATCCCACCGAGCCAATCTAGATCCTGCATGTCCCCAAGAAACCACAGCTTTCCGACTAGTTGTCATGCTAATCTTTGCTATGGGAACCCTTCGGAGTTGATGTGGAGGTTGCCGCGCTGCCTTGAAAATATAGGGGCCGTAATAATTGGAATAGGGTTTTGATGCCCCTTATACTATAATTATAATAAGGAACCCCCAAAATAATATTAGTAATTATTTAGGCCCCTATATTACGCCAACTTTCAAACTCGCACTCCACAGCACCACAGTATGGAACATCTGTGCCAAGAACAAGACAAGTAAGTCGGAAGCCGACCAACCAAAACACACCACGACAATGGCACATTTATATATGTTGTTCCGAATGAAAGTGTCGACGCCTCGACGTTAAGAAGTTAGAAAGTCCTTGCTCCCGCCCTTGCACGTGCAGAGGGGTTTCACTCATGTCAGCATAACCCCGTCAGAAACAGTTCATCATGCCCCAACGTACAGAATGGCAGATTGTCACGCACCTGGACTTGGTTAGCCCTTGACGGTTGAATGTACACTTCTGCATGCAGTGCAGAAGTGTAGCTTACAGAGATAGCGAAACCGACAGGCAGACAGAACATAACCCTAAACCCTAAACATAGCAAGACGCAGGAACAAAGACAGCACTCGTTACCAACCATACCACCAACAGACTGCAACTGCAATCAGCCTTGAAACGTTCATTTCATGATGGTTTTAAGGAACAGGTCCCCCCCAAAACAAGTATGAAAGCACGGTACTCCAAAACCCTATACCCTAAACCCTGAACCGTAAACCCCTAAGGTCAACGAAAAAAACTGGCAGCCTTGAGTGCCGAGGGTGGGATCTGACCCGCCGCGGCTAAACAGCTCTGAAGATCAACGGCCTGGTCCCATGGGCCCCATAGTAGTTCCTTTTTGGGGTTCATATTTAGAATCCTATAAGGTATTCCCTAAAAGGAACTACTTTGGGGCCTATGGGTAGACATAGGAGATGGGATCAGGGGGGACTGCTGGGGATATAGACCCTCTCAATAAGGTCTCCCTTAATTTAAGAGAGCCATACGTAGGGTTCAGAAAGGTCCCCTTTAAGGGGTCTCCCTAATTAATACTACCTGGGATTCTAGCTATGGGGTTTCGGTCTTTTGAAGGTTTGGGGCCTTGGGTGTAATTAGGGTTGGAGTTTAGGAGCTTTAAGTTTCAGTCTTTAGCAGCCTTGGGGTTGGGGTGCAGGGTTTGGAGTTGTGGGTTTCGGAGCTTCAGAGAGCCAAGGGTGTAACGACTGAAGGTAGAACATTGTCTCAAGAGGAACCACTTCAAATGTGCGAAGTAGATTCCCGTGTAATTAGTTCGACCCCTGCAAGGGAATTCGCTCATTCTAGCTTCTGGCTCTGGGTCGAAGGCCGCGACATGAGCCTTCCCGCCTCCTTTCCGGCACGAAGTGCATTTCGTGCAGCGCTTGCGCAAAGAGCACGCAAGTCCTGCACTCAAGGACGGCACTCATGCTAGAGTGCTGGATTTGCCAGAAGCTCAACGTGTTCGTGTCATATGGAAGAGGAGAAGTCCAATGCTGTCCCTAAGCCCTAAAACCAAAAGCCCTAAACCCTAATACCTAAGCCCAAAAGCCCTAAACCCAAAACCCTAAGACCTAAGCCGTAAACCCCTGAACCCTAACACCTATATAAGCCCTAAAGCCTAGACCCTAAACCCTATTGTCGCAGCCGGCATTTCGCAGAAGTGGATACTTTTCACTGCGAAGCCATGCCCTGGCTGAGCACGATAGATTTCGGAAGGATGCCGGATGACAAGATACCGATCGGATTGAAGGCCTTTCCGCATGGTCTTGCGGTTCAGTTGCGTTGTGCCTGGGTCTTCGCTTTGGGGTTAACACTGCTCTCCATGACTTCACATGTTCTTTTGATTTGCATATTTCCTGAGGCCGGATGATACAATCCTCGGACTCCTCACAACTTCGACACTTTGAGGTGAACTTCATGCCCAACACCATGCCAAAACCACAAATCCGTCAAGCCGTGTAAATCTCCGCCCTCAACACAGAAATCAGAAAACCTAGCTTTCTCCGGGCTGTAGGAGGGGGATTCACGGCATGGCTCTAGCGTAGCATCTTGAATGCCCTTACCCTACACTCCCTAAACTAATGTAGGGGCCTTAATCATTACAATAGGG